ATAAAAGAGAGGCCAAGGATCGGGCTAGAATGAACACTCAGGCGTCCCGGGGCCTGTACACACTCTGAGACAACTATGCTCAGCCACCAGGATTTCCCCTTGCTCTCTAGAAGTAAAGCTTGGTACGCTGGGGTGTGGGAGGAGGCTGAGACTCTGAGGACCGTCACCATGAAAATCATGGGTGCTTTTGGAAAACCCTCTTGGAATCTTGGAAGGTATGTTGTGATATGGTGGAAACGGCAGGGGAACTGGAGTCAGGAAGAGTGGGGTTGGAATCCTGGCTCTAGCTGTGTGACCCCAGACAAATGACTTACCCTCTCTGAACCTGCTTCTTCACCTGGACAATGATCAGCATGAGACCACCTACCCCCCAAGGATGTCATGGGGACTGAATGAGACGGAGGAGGTCGAGGGTTTAGCACAGTGCCGGGTACACGGCAGGCACCCCAGGAGTACTTGTTCCTTTCTTCCTGTTGGGCAATGAGGTCCCCCCACCCCACCCAGGGAAGTGAGGTGAGGGATGTGAAAAGTCAAGAACCTGAGCCTGGGGTGGGGCGGGCTGGGGGGAGGGGAGCCTCGCCCACCTCTCTGTGCTCCCTGACCGCAGCAACAGGTTGGCCGAGGAAGCTGCCTTCCGGGAGAGTTTCTGGCGAGGCCGCTCTGAGGGGGACGAGGAGGAGGAAGAATTTCTCCGGGGCCTGGTCGAACGGAGCACAGTGAGCAGGTGAAAGTCATTCCCTCGGATCGTGCTCCCCACTCCTCCCTCCCCTCCCAGCCTCTGCCGCAGGACACTCACGTGTCAGTACGCTGTGGGGGCTGCACCAGCCTGAGGAGCCCTGGGGGGCCGGGCGAGCCAGTGCCACTGCTGCTGCTGCCCCCTCCTTCGGACTGGGTCCCACCGGGCTCTTCACCGCCCCCATGCGGGGCCGCGGGCCCGTTGATCAGGCCAGGGGGGCCAGGTGATGACTCCGTCTCCACCTCTGTCTCTGTCTGGGTGCCTCGGCTCACCGAGGAGGGGCTGCGTGTGGGTGGCAGTCCCGGAGGAGCTGCAGGGCTGCTGGGGAGCCAGTGCATCAGCCCGATGCGCCTGGGGCAGGCCCCAGCAAGGGGGAGGAAGAAGGTTTGACAACATGCATACCTGTCCCTTGTAGGGCCTGGTGCGCCAGGGTCCTGCAGGGAGGTGGGAGGCGCCTGCAGCCGCAGCAGGCGAAGAGCTTCTGCCAAGGCTGCCTTTACCAGCTCCATCTCCTTCTCCTGCACCTGAAGCCGCCGGCTCAGGGACTGCAGGGCCTCCTGAGCAGGGCCCTCACCTGGGAAAGGGGCAAGAAGCAGTCAGAATGTACCCACCACCTGGGGAAAGGCTTGAGGGGATTCTCTCTGCCCCCAGCTGTGCATTTGTCCAATAGGACCTGCACCCTTCGAGCAGCTCCAGGCTTGGATGCGCTCCCAGAGGGGAGGAGACGGGTAGTAAAGGATCAAGGGCCTCCTTGTGGCAGGGCAGGCGAGGAACCTGGCAAAGCTCCCTTCCTGCTGCCGTCCCAGCCTCCGCAAAGACAGGGAGTACCATGGAGTACCCGGGGAAAAAATGGAGTACTGGCGAGGAACGTGGGAACCACAGGCTGAAGCGCAGTGCTGGTGAGGGACGACAGGGCCCAGCCCAGAGCAAGCTCAGGTCTCCAGAGAAGGCAGAGAAACTCAGAGGGAGCACCCGGAGAAAAGTGGGGGGGACACAACAGTACAGTCATCCTGAGGACTCAGAGAAGAAGACGACATCTAGAATGACAGGAGAGGGTATGAGTGGAGAGAAGAGTCATAGCGAAGGTCCCAGGGTAACAGTGGGGGTCCGAAGTAAAAAGACCCAAAATCCCAGGAAAAGAGGCCCAGAGTAACACAGGAGGTAAGGAAATTTTCGAGGTGCCCAAAGTAACACGGGAGGTAGGATGACGTTGGGGAAGTCCGAAATGACAGTTGGAGGACCCAAGTAACTAGGGAGAGCGACCTGAGGTACAGTGGAGGATGCTCAGAGCCCCCGGAGCCGAGGAGCACGCGGGGACGCCCCGAACAGCCGTCGGGCAATGGCAGCGCCCGACCGGCCGGCGCTCCGGGAAGGGGCACGCCGCCCGCCCCGCCCCGTACTCACCGGGCCCCCCGGCCCCGTCCATCCGGCCCCCGGCTTGCTCCGAGCGGCGGCGGCGGAGGAGGAGGCGTCTAAGCCGCCGGGGCCATGGCCAGAGAGAGGGGAAGGGGAAGCACCCCGGGGCGCGCGCGCAAGGGAGCCGAGCCACCCCCCGGGGGCGCTGTCGGGCGCGGGGAAAGGGCCTGGAGGGGGCGCTGTGGGGCGGGGGCCGCAGGCTCCGGGGCCCGCCGGGGCCTCGGACTCTCCCGGGACCGCTCTTGGCTCCCGGGGGTGGGGTGGCGGGGCCGTCCTGGGCCCCAGCGCCGCAGCACAAACAGGCGCCGGACGCGAGGCCGCCAGGAAGCGCGGGAGGTGGGGGGGCGGGACGAGGGGGGGGGCCGGGCCGCCTGGTAACCCCTCCCTGTCCGGGCCTCGCAGCTCGCTTCGGGGGCGGGGCCAACCCGTTGACCCCCGGCCCCCTCCGGCCACCGCCCTCCAGGCCCTTCCGGGATCCTGGCCCTCGGACTCCCTGGGGACCTGGGAAGGAGCGCGGGCCGTGAGGTCTCCCGCCCCCAGCCCCTAGCCTGTCGAGGCAGAACCGACCAGCCCCTCCCCGCTTCCGCGAAGGGACAGGGGCGGGGTCACGAAATAGGCCTTTTGCCCGGGGGCGGGGCTTTTCCTAAGGGGCAAGGCCAAGGCATCCCGAATTGGGACTGGCAGGGGACAGGGCAGAGGGTTATTAAGGCTGTGGCGGGAGGATGCCCAGGGTATTGGGGTCAGGGTGGCATTAGCCCAGCTCAAGCCAGGCTGGGCTGACGCAGCATCCTGCCGCGGCCAACCCCTGTCCCTGACAGCTCTGCTGTCCCTTGGGCAGAGATGGGAGATGGCGCCGGTGCTGCCCCTGGTGCTGCCCCTCCAGCCCCGCATCCGTCTGGCGCAGGGCCTCTGGCTCCTCTCCTGGCTGCTGGCGGTGGTCGGTGGCCTCACCCTCCTCTGTAGCGGGCATCTCCTGGTCCAGCTGTGGCACCTTGGCACCTTCTTGGCTCCCTCCTGCCCGGTCGCTGCCCTGCCCCAGGTTGCCTTGGCAGCCAGTGCAGTGGCTCTGGGCACAGGACTGGTGGGTTCAGGAGCCAGCAGGGCCAGTCTGGATGCAGCTCAATACCCTCCCTGGCGAGGGGTCCTGGGCCCGCTGCTGGTGGCTGGCACAGCTGGTGGCGGGGGGCTCCTGGTTCTTGCCCTGGGGCTAGCCCTGGCTTTGCCTGGGACTCTGGACACAGGACTGGAGGAGGGCCTGGGGACTGCCTTGGCTAACTACAAGGACACAGAGGTCCCCGGACGCTGTCAAGCCAAACGGCTGTTGGACGAGCTGCAGCTGAGGCACCACTGCTGCGGGCGCCATGGGTACAAGGATTGGTTTGGGATCCAGTGGGTCAGCAACCGTTACCTGGATCCCAATGACCAGGATGTGGCTGAGTGAGTGATTTGCTTCTCCTCCTCCCTCTTCCTTCTTCTCCTCCTCTTCCTCCTTCCTTGAAACCCCACCTCACCCAGACAGGCAATGAGTAGAGTCTAGTGACTGAGAGAATGGAGCACAGCTCTGCCATGTTTTAGCTGTGTGACCCAGGGCATGTTACCAAACTGCTCTGGGCCCATTTGCTTGTCTGTAAACTGGAGATGATAAAAGTCCCACTTTACAGAGTTGTCGTAAGGATAAATGAATTATGTATGCATGCCTGGCACATAGTAAAGCAGTCAGTACATGTCTCACTTGTCTTTTCCCTTCTCAACTCCTGTGCCCTGCAGCTTCTCCCCCAGGCCTCTATCTCCAGACATCCTAACACCCCTGCCCCTCCCTTTGCAGCCGGATCCAGAGCAATGTGGAAGGCCTATATCTGATTGATGGGGTCCCTTTCTCCTGCTGTAATCCCCACTCACCCAGACCTTGCCTGCAAAGCCAGCTCTCAGACCCCCACGCCCACCCCCTCTTTGATCCCCGACAGCCCAACCTAAACCTCTGGGCCCAAGGATGCCATGAGGTGCTGCTGGGGCACCTGCAGGGGCTGGCGAGCACACTGGGCAACATGCTGGCTGTTACCTTCCTGCTGCAGGTGAGTCAGCAAAGTGTTTGAGGCCTCCTCTGGGCCTCCTCACCGCCTCCAACCCAGGGGCCCCTGAAACTGCTGTGACCCTCATTGACCTCTTGCCCCTTGCTTTCCCCACAGACTCTGGTACTCTTGGGCCTGCGGTACCTGCAAACGGCATTGGAGGGGCTCGGAGGAGTCATCGATGGGGAGGGAGAGGCCCAGGGCTATCTCTTTCCTGCTGGGCTGAAAGACATGCTGAAAACAGCGTGGCTACAGGGAGGGGTGGCCCGCAGGCCAGCACCTGAGGAGGCCCCACCAGAAGAGGAACCTCCCAAGGAGGGTCTACCTGAGGCCTAGTGGCCTGGAGCTTGGGGTGGGGATGAGGGGTGGGGGGAAGGGGAGAGATGGACAAGCCTGGAAACCTCACAACTCCTTATAGGCTCCAGGTGGGGGAGGAGGGATCTCTGGGATTAGAGGGTTAAGGATAGTCAGTGAGCTGGACTGGGGTAAGAGAGAAAACCAGGTGTCCTAGGGCCTAGCCCATGGCCAGAACCACCAGGGAAGAACAGAAAAAAAACCAGGGTGGTGGGAAAGTGACATGGGAAGGACTGGAGGCTGCTTCTGGTACACAGACTCAATAAAGCTTTTGGACTGAAGCCACTGATCTTTCTCTTCAAGGGGGTGGGGGCCCTGAGAGAACTGATTTCCGTCTGATGGAGAAGCCAGGACTCCAGGGGTTTGACCTGGTAAGGATCAAATGCAAGAACCTGACATGGGAAGTGAAGGAAAACAGAAGCCCCTCCAAGTTGAGAGTTTTTATTCTGGAGGTTGGGGCGGGGGGGGGGGGGTCAGCATGCTCAGGTGGGGAGGGTCCAGCCCAGCTCCTCCAGCCCCCCAGTGCATGCCCAGCCCCAATAAGTTACCCAGTCACTCAGCCGCCCTCCCGCCCGAGACACTCTGTTTTCTGCTCCGCCCCAGACAAGCCCATCTGGCTCAACACAAGGGCTGCTTGTCCCTAGCCTGTGAGCAGTGCCACAAGGCAAGCTGGGGGAGGGGAGAAGCAGCTGGGCCACGCCCTGGGGTTGAAGGGGCAGAGGGGCTGCCCCTGGCTCTGAGGGCTCAGGACTTGGAAAACCACATCCTGGGCAGGCCAGGGATCCAGTCCCACAGATCTGTGTCTGATGAGGTGGTGGGCAGTGGAGGGCCGCCATCACACCTCGACAGCTGGGTCTGAGCCTCGGCCCTGCCGCTGCAGCTGCTCCTCCTGCTTCGTTTTGGGCTTCTCTGTCCGCGTATGCCACACCAGAACCTGTCCCGAGAGCTTTCAGTTAGAGCCGGGCCCAGCCACAGCCAAGCCTCTGGGGCACGCAGTGTAGAACGGATTCTCCAACCCCCTCGACACACACTGGGTTGGCTGCCAAGTATGACGGGTGGGTGGGGGGAGCCTTTAGTGCCTCTAAAATGGGGCTTAATCCCTTACCCTCTCTGTGTCACACGGGTGCCAGGAGACACAGTGGCAGGAAGACCACTTTCCTTCCCTGCCTCCCAGCTTCCCCTTCAGGAGAGCAAGCAAGGTTGAATCTGAGCCCTGGAGGGTCTCTCCTGGTTCAAACACCCATCCTTGATCCTACTCCCCAGGGCCTCATTCCACTTCTCCCATCACCCGTCCATCCCACAGTCAGATTTCCGTGCCCACCTCCATCCCCTTACCCGAGTGCAGTTGGCAGCCCGTGGCTCCAGGTCCTTGGGATCGACAAGGTGGCTCAGGAGGCTGCTCTCCAGGTGGCCCCGAGGAGCAGTAGCATCAAACCGGGCATTGGGTTTCGCCAACAGCAGGGGCAGGGAGACGGCAAATCCCGCCATATCCAGTGGGAAGGGCCTATTGGGCTCCCACGCGGTGTGGAAGCCCACGACCCGGCCATCCTGTACGCGAGGGCCCTCGAATCGCAGGCCGCCCACCAGCCCCACTGGCCACACTGAGACGCCACGGGTCCAGCGCATCTACCGGAAGTCAGGAAAGAAGAACCAGACAGGAGGTGGCCCAGAGGAACGGGAGCAGCGGGAAGGACCACTTGAGTCACTCTGCCCCACCGCTCCCCACTCCTCACCTAGGGAAAAAGATGAAGCGGGCCCACCTGGCCTGTTTCCCCAGCCCCATCTCAGTGCTCACCTCCTCAAAGAGTTCCCGGCTGTAGGTGTTGTCATCATCAGCAAAGTACACGACTCCCCGGGTGCCTGGTGGGGGTGGATCCTTCTCTCCCGCCACAGCACCCCCTCTGCTCCGGAGCCAGTCCAGGGCCCTGTTCCGTTGCTCAACACCTCGGGGCCGAACCCAGCCTGGCTCGCCCTCCCGGAGTCGCTGGGCCTTGGGGGTGAGGACCGCCAGGTGTGTGAAGAGGAGGCCAGAGGCAGCCAGCAGCCCCGAGACCAACGGGGTGGGGCCCTCAGCATCCTCTACCAGCAGCCAGTGCAGCCGGGGCACCAGGCTTAGGGTCTGGGACAGCCGCACCAGCTCTGCCTTCTGCACCAGCCTGCAGGGGGAAAGATGCAGGAGGGAAAGGGGTAGGCACCATTTGCCCACTCCAGAGGGTACATATGGCTTCTCCTGGGCCACTCCTAGCACCGCCCACCCTCCCCGCCCCCCGTGACCTTTCCCCGACCAGCACCCAAATGCCCTGTTCTTTTCTTTGTCTTGTTTTGTTTTTTGACCCAGCCACTCAGCTTGCAGGATCTTAGTTCCCTGACCAGGGATGGAACCCATGCCCACTGCAGTGGAAGCGCTGAGTCCTAACCACTGGACCGCCAGGGAATTGATTCACCTGCCCTGTTCTTAATGTCCATGTCTGTCACTCACCTCAACCCCAGGGCTCTGACTATAAATTAAGGGCACAGTCTTTGAAATCAGATCTGGGTTTGAACGCCAGTTTTGTAACTTACTAGGTGAGATATCTGGGGAAATGGCTCCATCTCCCCAAGGCTCAGTTTCCTTTAAATAACTTTAAAATAACAGTACTTTATAACAATGTTGTTTTAAAGATTAAATAAGATCATGATTTTTTAGAATACCAGTAGGACCATGTTCTTTGCCGCCTATGCTTGGATTTCCAGGTAGAAGAGTTTAGAGGAGCCCTTTGGCTCATTCCTTTTCAGGGGACGAAGATTTATCCGAGTTTAGACAAGAAACTGGGAAGGTAGGGGCCCAGTCTCTTGCAGGCTTCTTTACCCTTCAGATGGGCCTGCCCGCCCCAGGCTTGATGGTGTGTGTAGGGAGGTGGAGAGGGTCTAGAGATGCCCTGGCGTAGGTGGGTCAGCCATCTGATTCCAGGCAGATGTCAGCAAGCCCTTTTGGCTACAGATTCAAAACCACATTTCCCAGTTGGTTTGTGTCACCAATAACGCTACGTTTTATTAAAAAAAAAAAAAAAGGAACACACTTAGCACAGTGTGGGGCAGAGAGTAAACACACTGCAAATAATAGCTGGTGTAACTATTTCTAGACCCCCGTATGACCTCAGGGCCAAGTCCTTTTCTACTTCGATTTAGTCAAGGGCTTCCCAAACTTTCTCACCAAAGGCTCCCTAAGGAGAGTGAACTCACTGGCAAGTTCAGAATTTCTTTGCAACTTTATTGTTCTATCTTAAAACTTCTCAGGAATATTGTATTCTACTTCACAGCACATCCCTGTCTATTTTAATAGAAAAACATTTTCCCACAAATCTTAGAGTAATGATGTGGTTCATTTAGCCTGTCATTTGTCATGCCTTAGCTTGAGGAACATCCCCTGGCCCAGCGCCTCCCGAAACTCATCATCGACCCCAGCCTCTTGGTCCATGCAGATGTTGGGTGCATCACAGCCCATACCTGGCATAGGTGGGGGTAACAACATAGATAGTAGGCAGAGCCTCAGGTTCAGGGGGCTGGGCGGGGGCAGGGGGTGGACGGCGGAGATCGGCTTGCAGCTGGGAAATCCTCAGATCCTTCTGCCGAAGCTGCTCTGCTGCTGCCCGCAGGGGAGAGAGGCAGTCACATGGCTGGCCTGGTCCCAGGAAGCAGGGATGGGGGCAGAGAACCACAGTATGTTCAGCATCCCAAAGGGCCATAACCTTCTGTTCAACTAGCCAGTGCAGGGCTCTCTTTACAACTTCTCTAACAGCTTTTCTATGCCTTGGGTGGTGGGGAGCTCACTGCCTCAATTAGCAGCCCCTCTCCGACTTTACCAATTCCATCCATTACAGTTTTCATTTGGCTATTGAGCTGATTACCTGCCTCCATCCTTTCTACCTTCTGGTCCTAATTCTGCCTTCTGGAACCATAAAGAACAAGTTGATCTCCTAAAACAGGACAGTCTTTCAAATACCTGAGGATCATGCAGTGGCCCAGTCTCTAAATCCCCGCATAAGAGGCAGGGTTCAATCTGTTCCACTGGCTGTGTGACCAAAGACTCATTAAATTCATTGATTCCATCATTGGATAAATATTTATTGAATGCTCCTCCTGGGAGGCACTGCCTTAGGTGCCCGGGATGCAGCTTAGGAAAGCAAACAGACATGGTCCCTGCCCTCATGGAGGTTTCAGTTTAGTGGAGGAGCTGGACACTAAGCAAAGAAACAAATTAATAAAATTATTAGAAACCGTGGTAAGGGCCATGAAGGAAACAAATAGGATAGAGACTTAAAGAGAATCCAGATTGAGAAGAGGTACTTTAGCTAAGGTGGTCAAGGAAGGCCTGTGAGGCGGTGACATGTGAGCTGAAACCTGAAGGATGAGAGAGGGAGCTGGGAAAGAGCTGGGCGAAGAGCACCACAGGCAGCGGGGACAGGTTAAGTGCTTGGAAGCAATGAGTGTGGGGTTTTCAAGAAACTGTCATGAAGCCAGTGTGGCCGGAGCAGAGCGAGCGAGAGGGTTAGGAAATGGGGTTAGAGAGGCAGACCAAGGCAGAATCATGCGGGGCCTTGCAGGCTCTGGGAAGGAGTCTGATTTCACCCGAGGTGCGGCGGGCAGCCGCGGTGCGTTCTAGAGAGGGGAGTGCGCCCGGCGGCCTTAGAGGGCTGTAGAAGGGCCGAGCCGGATGAATGGGGTCTGCGCGGGGGTTCATCCCCAGGGCGGGACGCTCGGCGACGGGTGCCCGAGGGCCGACCCGCCGCGCCCCCGCCCCGCCCCGCTCACCGAGCTGCACCAGCGCGTAGAGGAGGCCGGCGATCGACACCAGGAAGTAGGCGAGGAACACGTTCTTCAGCTTCAGCTTCATGGCCGCGCCACCGCCGGCGCCTGGGCAGGCGGGGTCCTGCAGGCACGAAGTTCCCCGCCCCCAGCCCGCCAGCCTGCAAGCCCCGCCCCTGAAGCGGCCCCGCCCCTTGACCCGCCCTCCTCACCCTCCTCTCGACCTGCTCCCAGGAGCTGGAGCTGGCAGTAAACGTCGCGGCCCACTTCCGGTCAGTCTGCACACTCCCTCCCTCCGGGTTAATTTCCGCTCCCACCGCCTAGTTCTGGGAACCACGGTAGTGGGTGACGTCATATCCGGCGTATCAAGCGCGCGCGGCCGGCGGTCAAAAGCCAGGTAGGGTACTTGGGAGTGGCTTTGGGACCCTCCCCTTGATCTCTAGTCCCTCTGCGCAGATTTTCTCCTTATAGTCATTCATTCATCCATCAGTCACTGCAGGTAGTAACAGTACCTCAGTACATACTTGTTACATGAATGAGTGAAATCTAGGGCCTATCATGTACCAAGCCTGTGCCCTGGGTGTCTCATACAATCCTCACTATAATCCTTTGATTATAATTTTAATACAATTTAGGATATTAAAACTCTAAAGATTGATGTTGCAGAATTTTGATATTTAACAAGGTACTCTTGGCAAAAATGCAAAAAATACATAGTAATCTAATAAATTAAACCAAAAAATAGTAAAGGGGTATTTTTGATATTTCATTAATTAATCAACCTCTCATATTCTAATATTTCTTGGATTTTTTTTTTGAATTTCTAGTATGACTTGGAATCAGGTCCCTTTCTGGGATGAAGAGTTTATATCCATAGTGTTTTTCCAGCACATCTGGCAGTAGTTCAGGAGCAAACTGCTCTTCTTCAGGGTTGTCACAGTATCTTGGTCCACTTTTGTGTGAGAGATAGGTATTGTCCCCATTTTACAGATAAGTAACTAAAATTGCGCCAAATCATGTAATTCCCATCGTACAATTTTCTATGTCCCTTCTAGATACCTGACTCCAGGAGCTGTACTGTCTCCTTTGACCCACACTGAAACAGGTGACAGAAGGGGTGGGGGTAAAATGTCAAGGCAATGAGCTATCTCCCAGAGAATTAACTGGAAATTTCTCTTTTTAAAATAAATTTATTTATTTGTTTACTTTTGGCTGCACTGGGTCTTCGTTGCTGCTCGTAGGCTTTCTCTATTTGCGGCCAGCGGGGGCTACTCTTCATTGCGGCGCGTGGGCTTCTCATTGCAGTGGCTTCTCTCGTTGTGGAGCATGGGCTCTAGGCACGTGGGCTTCAGTAGTTGTGGCACGTGGGCTCAGTAGTTGTGGCTCACAGGCTCTAGAGTGCAGGCTCAGTAGTTGTGGCTCACGGGCTTAGCTGCTCCGCGGCATGTGGGATCTTCCCAGACCAGGGCTCGAACCCATATCCCCTGCATTGGCAGGCGGATTCTTAACCACTGCACCACCCAGGAAGCCCCTGGAAATATTTCTTGAGCTGAGGAATTCCAGAAACACAACCCCTAACTCCTCACAGGCATAAACCATCCTGAGCAGTAATTTTTCCAAACAAAACCTAGTTTCTTGTTAAAATAATCTCTAAGACTTGTGGTCAGTCTACAAAATGGAGGAAACTATTTCCTGTCACTAAAACAATGGGAAATTTTTAAAAATGCTGCTAGCTAAAGAGAAGCAGTCTTTAGTATGAGAACATCTGACATATAGCTATTTCTATTCAAGAGGGACCCCATTAGCTCTGGTCACCACTATTAACTAGGCCTACCAAAATCTGATGACCTTGCTGGGCTCCTCTATGAAAATACTGGCATCAGGGACTTCCTTGTGGCGCAGTGGTTAAGAGTCCGCCTGCCAGGGGCTTCCCTGGTGGTGCAGTGGTTGAGAGTCCGCCTGCCGATGCAGGGGACACAGGTTCGTGCCCCGGTCCAGGAAGATCTCATGTGCCGCGGAGTGGCTGGGCCCGTGAGCCATGGCCGCTGAGCCTGCGCGTCTGGAGCCTGTGCTCCACAACGGGAGAGGCCACAACAGCAACAGGCCTGTGTACCACAAAAAAAAAAAAAAAAAGAATCCGCCTGCCAATGCAGGGGACATGGGTTCCAGCCCTGGTCCGGGAAGATCCCACATGCCACGGAGCAACTAAGCCCGTGCGCAACTACTGAGCCTGCGCTCTAGAGCCTGTGAGCCACAACTACAGAGCCCACGTACCACAACTACTGAAGTCCATGCGCCTAGAGCCCATGCTCCGCCACAAAGAGAAGCCACCACAATGAGAAGCCCGCGCACCACAACAAAGAGTAGCCCCCACTCGCTGCAACTAGAGAAAGCCCGCGTGCAGCAACGAGGACCCAATGCAGCCAAAAATAAATTAATTAAAAAAAAAATTGGCATCAAGCAAGCTGAAGGAGGCTTGCACTCACTCATTTTGCTCAACCAATGAGGCTTATGCTGAAGCTAAATGAAAATGTCAGGTCCTCGGGCTTTTAGGGGTCTGTGGTTCAGGCCAGAACTGGAATCCAGACGCCAACAGTTATTTATGGTTTCTCTCTTTATTGTTTCTCCTTTTATCAAAACCTGTCACAGCTGGGGGCCAAAAGGAAGTAAAAAAAATTCCCACAAACATTCCCCATCGTCCCCCAGTTAGTCCTCCCCCACCCCCCACCCAGGGCCCTGGGCCAACCCTGAGCGCACATGATCATCTCCCCCACCCTCAGCCTTCCCCCAGCAATAAATACAGGTGACCATGATTCGATGAAACCGCAACTGATTTCTCCATCTGGAATGCCCCTCAAGGGGACAAAATTTTAGGAGGCAAAAGAAGTCTCGCTCATCCCCTCTTAAGGAGTGGAAACTTCTTTCCCCCAAGGGACAGGGGAGGTAGAACTGCCCCTGTCAGAACCGCAGCTGCTCTAGATAGAAGCAGGGAGAGGAAAGGCTGGGATGCCAGGGAAGAGGATGTTTTCCAGCAACCTCACTCCTTTGATCCATTCATCCCTTATCAGGGTAAGGGGTGGACCCTGTGCATCAATGGGGCATAAAACAGAAAGGCCTGATAGAGAAGAGCCAGGAGGAAGAAATAAAAAGGAGGGAGAACAGTTTGGTGGGGAGGGAAGGGGAAGGAGAAAAGGAGCCCTAAAGCTCACTGCCCTCATCTTCTTCCAAGAAATGGCATCAACACACAAGAGACATGAACAGAGAGGGTATGGAGGAGATTCAGGGCCCCCAGAAGAAAGAAAAGAGAAGGGAAAGCAAGGGCCCTGTGGTCCCCAGGTCTTCACAGGTGAATGTGCTCCAGTCAGAGCAACAGAATATTTGGGGATGAAGGGAGATGTGGTGTCAATGGGGTGGGAGAGGTCAGGAGATCACAAAATGAATTCAGAGCCCAGGGAAAGCCCTCTCATCCTGCCCAGATGTTGGCAGAATGTAGATCTTGAGATAAGAAAGGTGAAGTCTGGGGAAGGTCAAACTCCAGGGCAGAAGGAAGAGTAACTATCAAGACCATCACACCCCACCCCAACATCCCTTGGGTTATCGCAGGTGAATACTCCAGTCGGATACCACACTGACGCCAGGCTTGCGCAGGATCAACACAGAGGTCTCAGGGTCATGCTGGAAGGACAGGCGGCTTTCAGGAGATCCTGGTGGAGGAAAGAGAAAGAGTGCCAGAGTCAATAGCAACTACTTTCCTATACGCAGGGGGTCCCCAACCCTGCCCTGCTTCTTCTCTTTCCCCACCTGGGGGCCAGATCACTCACCTTTTGTCTGGAGTACCACGGTTGCTGGCTTTCCAGCCCCTATTATCACCACCCGCTCAATCCAAATTGGTGTCTCAAAGTGGCCTTTGGGGTCTGCTGAGCTGGAGGAAGCAAAAATGGATACCCATCAGAAAAAAAACTGTCAGAGCAGAGAGGAGGAGAGCAGAGCAAGGCCATGATGTAAGAGCACAGTGAGCTGTAAGCATCCCAGAGGCTGCCAAGGAAGAAAGGGTACCTCCTTACCTGGAGACAAGGGTGTTGCCAGAGAATGAGAATCGACGCAGCAGGAACTCATGGCGAGTCTGATAGTTGAACGTGTGCCCATCATCTAGAAAGAGCTCTCCTTGGGCCGTACCCTGAGCAGGAAGTGGGGTAGGCGAGAGCCTGAGCCCAAGAGGGAGTGAGGGGCACATCCCCAGGGGACTGAATCCTAGGAAGGTAGGCAGATGGTTGAGGAGGCTCCCTGCTTATGCGCTCACCTGGAGGCTGAGTGCAACGAAAAGAGTGATGGGGTCATCCTTCATGCAGTCTGAAGAACGCCGCACTCGCATCCATCGGGGCACAATTGTCCCTCCACGCTGGAACACAGGGATCTAGGGCAAGAGCAGTGCTGGGATGAAGTAGCCCTGTTGTTCAACCCTGGGCCCTGCAATATCTTTTGCTTGTGTATATCTGCGTCCCCTTAGGAACTGGACTCTAAAGTATACACTCTCTCCCCTTCTGGAAACCTACAGGCAGATGGAGCTGGCAGCTGGGCCAGGCATACTCACACTGCTTAGAGTTACAGGCAGATACAGGGTCTGGGGACCATGATGCTTCTGGTAGCTATGAACGTCATACCACACCTGTGGGTGCAGAAGATATACTCGGTCACTCACTGCACAGAGGACCCCCCACTCTATTTACCCTCTCTGACCTCCACCACCTTTCCCCACCACACCCTTCCTTAACTCACCTCCCCTTGGCCAGGAAGATAGACCTGCACGCCATGAGCCTCAGAGTCTGATACAGGGTGAACCAGCAATGCATCCCCTAAGACACAGCAGAATCAACTCTGAATTGGGGAGATCAGTTCCCAAAGAGGGAGCCCTAGAGCACCCACCCCCTTGCACCCCTGGCCTCGTTCACTCCTCCCACCCTGCACATCCACAGACGTATCTATCACAGTGCTTGCTTCTTCTCAGCCCTATCCCAACCCACCACTAACTGTCCCCCTTGTTTCTCACCAAGCAGGAACTGATCATCTATACTGAAGGTGGTCACATCCTGAGGATAATGAACCCACAGGGGCCTAGGAAGGAAGCAGGACAAGAAAGGAAGACACTTGCTGTTTGGCAGAAGTCAAAGATGCTACCCCAGGCACTGGCAAAAAGAAGAGCACAGGGGAAAGACCCGCGAGCTGGCAGCCAGACAGCCCAGCAGGCTTAAGGACTCAGCTATGCACTCTAACCTTGGTCTAGACATTTAACTTCCTAACGTGTCCCCCTGCCTCCTCCCACCCTGCTCCCTCTGGAAACTGCTCTGCACAGCTACCTCCCAGCGGCCACTTCATTATCCTGGCCTGAAAAGCCCTCTAGTTCAGGTTGAATTTTCCACTCCACCTCATCTACCTCTCCCTCTGGTTCTTTACCCCTGAGACACACTGGTTTGTTCCTACTCCTGGAACATAACAAACTCATTTCCATTTCATAATTTTTGCACTTGCAGTCTCCCCTGCTTGGAACATTCTTCCTCTGCGTCACAAAAGCCTGTCTTACTCATCAGTCAGGGCTCATCTTTACGTGGCCTGTTTTTTGTTTTTTGTTTTTTTTTGCGGTACGCAGGCTTCTCACTGCTGTGGCCTCTCCCGTTGAGGAGCACAGGCTCTGGACGCGCAGGCTCAGCGGCCATGGCTCACGGGCCCAGCTGCTCCGCAGCATGTGGGATCTTCCCGGACCGGGGCACGAACCCGTGTCCCCTGCATCGGCAGGCGGACTCTCAACCACTGCGCCACCAGGGAAGCCCTACGTGGCCTGTTTGTGGAACTTAACTCCGTTACCCTGTTCTATTTTTTTCAAAAACCTTGTCAGTTTTGGCAGTTTTCCTATTTCCATATTTGTTTACATGTCTCTCTGTCTTCCTCCCAAGAATGTAAGTTCCACAAGGGTACGACACTTGTCTGACTTGTTTCTGGCTCTGGGGATAGTGATGAGTAATGCCTAGCATGTCATAAGCACTCAGTAACGTTCACTGCTCTTCATCTCCCCACTGGTCTCTTCTTACTCTTGACCTTGCAGTCAGATTTCCCTCCTTTACAAGGCCCTCGTAAATGAAGAAAGAGGCCCAGAGATGGAACCCAGTCTCCCAGCCATCTCAGTCCATTCTACACAGACCCAACTGAATGCCTCACCT